GGGGCTTTTAAATACCGCTTTGGACTGGTGTGGTCTCGGCACTGGTGGAATTGATGGTGGTTTCCAACTCTCCTGTCCTTTCCTACCTGTTATAGCACAGTAGTTACGGTGACTCCATAGCCTGAGGGCCACCGCAGCAGATAGTGGGATGTAGCTACTGCTCAGTGCTGGGGGGCTGCCATAGGTTCCAGCGTGTACGACCAGGGGGCCAGCGGACTGAGAAGACCAAAGAAAACCTTAGAGAAACAAAAATAAAATATCAAGAAGTAAATTTTCGGCTCCCAAAATACACATGCAGCCGAAAAGTTCCGAGAATTAGACTAAAATCTTTATAGGAAGACGGAAAAAATATAGGAAGATAGTACCAATAGAGAACCACGGACATTTTAGAAAGAGCGTTTATGGGAAGACCAGGAAAAAATGGTCAAGGGAAGGCAGCTGCCCTAGAGAAACCGTTTTAGACCCAAAAGACGTAGAAATCTCCAAGAGACAAGCAAGTCCGAGAAACCTAGAGAAACCAAATGGAACGCAAGAAAACGGTGCCGTTAGCTCCGTACGACAGGCGTCGAGCGCTAACTGCGGTTTAACTTTCCGCTTTCCAACTGCTGGGACGTGCTGAGCCCACTGCTGCCAGGGCCTGGCCGCAGTGCTCGAAAGGGCGGTATCCGAGCCTCGTCCAGGCCCATCTGTTTGTGAAACTCAAAGTTTTGATGTGCCTGAATCAGACAATGGAGCTATAGACATCGCTGGGACAGGGCCAGTCGTTGCGCGAAGCGGTGCAGCGCTTGTCGTTCGTATCCAGCGGTCGTCAGCCCTCAGCCTCCAGGCTTCTCGCTCTATCCGGGGCCAGGTGGAGTTCAGAACGGCTCGGAATTCGGAGCAACCTCTCTCCTGCTTTCGGCTGCGGGCTGCTGCCATAAAGTTCCCCTTGCAGCGGGGTGGGCCTTTTACACGGCACGAGTCTCTTCGGCCAAAGGTCCGTCGTTTTGGGGTACGAATCGGTGCACCCACACACTCTGAAAATTACTTTATGCAGAGTCCCATGAGCTGCCCGCGCGCTGGACGCAGGTGCCGTAGAAAGAAACCACCGGCGACCGCACCGGGCCCCAAGCAACCCCGTTAGAAGATTAGATATTTTTTCCCATCTCTGTTTCTGTGTACTGGAGAGACACACACAGAACTATAGTGAAACAAACGAAACTAACGGTAACTCAAACCTAAATAAAAAGTACATCAAACGATTCACGCTGTTTTTACTGTTCTGGATGGATGATTTCTGACTCGTCACTGGTGAGCAAGCGTTGTACAATATCGAACTTCGCAATTTGGTGATTTGTACACTTATGCATATACTTAAATACGAGGGGTGCCCAACTCTAAAAAATCGTGTACACCTGATTACCAAAAAGTGACGATTACCAAGGATTACCAAAGATTACCGAAGATTACCGAAGATTACCTATGATTACCAAGGGTTTCCGAAGTTTACCACTGACAAAAGATTACCAGAGATTACCAAAGATTGCCATTGATTAC